TGTGTGTGTGTGAAGGGTGGATGTGTGTGTGTGTGAAGGGTGGATGTGTGTGTGTGTGAAGGTGGATGTGTGTGTGTGTGAAGGGTGGATGTGTGTGTGTTGAAGCACGTAGTTGTCAGACCTGTCGCTGTGTGCCCACAGTGTGTACAGTGTGGGCACTTTGCTCGGAATGCCCTGACAACAATGTGTGACAATGCCTTTGCTTTGTCTCACCGAATACGCTGTTGGTCTCTTGCGGCCAGTTTTTCCGGAGAAGCAGAGCTGTTTTGAATCTACCCTACGGTATTTGAGGAAGGAATAAGTGATGGGATGGTAGTGTCTGTGGGTGGCCCGCTGCTCTGGTGATGAAAGTTTAGGAAGCCAAGCCCGATGTGTCCGATGAGTATTCCTGCTCTGTCAGCTGCCCATTTGCCCCCATTTCATTTTGCTTTGGGGATGGCTGTCTCGTTGTGCTGTTGCAGCAGTAGCAGGGAGAGCTAGGAGCAAGGTGCCAAACTCTCTATGTTGGCATTAGCAACGTGAAAATGTGTTCAAGACAGTGAGGCCACACCTGGTGTACTGTGTACAGTTTTGGTCTCCTTACTTGAGAAAGGATATACTGGCACTGGAGGGGGTGCAGTGGAAGGTTGCTAGGTTGATTTTGGAATTGTGTGTGTATTGGCTTATGGGGAGAGATTGAGCAGACTGGGACTGTACTCATTGGAATTTAGGAGAATGAGGGGGGATTTTGTAGAAACCGATAAAATTATGAAGGGAATAGATAAGATGGAAGCAGGAAGGTTGTTTCCACTGTGGGGGTGAAACTAGAACTAGGGGGCATTGCCTCAAAATAAGGGGGAGCAGGTTTAGGACAGGTCAGGAGGAACTTCGTCACCCAAAGGGTTGTGAATCTGTGGAATTCCCTGCCCAGTGAAGCAGTTGAGGAAATCTCATTGAATGTTTTTGAGACAAAGAATTTTGAACAGTAGAGGAATTAAGGGTTATGGGTAGAGGGTGGGTAAGAGGAGCTGAGACCATGAAAGGATCAGCGATGGTCTTATTGACTTGCAGAGCAGGCTTGGGGAGGCCGGATGGCCTACTCCCGCTCCAATAGATGCCAAGCGATGAAAGAAACAAGGCGATGGTGTCCAGCACCATTACGAGTTTCTGTTTTCTCTAACTGGGTTTAATTGCCATTTGTGTGTTCTTCTGCCGTCACTGGCCATCTCCTGGTTACCTAGCTCCACTTCCCCGCTCCCCCCGCCAGCTGTGGGCCTTAGTGGTCAGGCTCCAAGGAAGCTGGGCATTGCTCAGCACCAGAGAGGGCTGTTCACTCTCAAAGCCTGGTTTGTAGTGAGGCTCATCGATCATAGACACCTACAGTGTGGAAACAGGCCCTTCGACCCAACAAGTCCACACCAACCCTCAGAGTATCCCACCCAGACCCATCCCCCTATAACCCACCTAATCTACACATCCCTGAACACAATGGGCAATTTAGCATGGCCAATCCACCTAGCCTGCACATCTTTTTGGACTGTGGGAGGAAACTGGAGCATCCGGAGGAAACCCACGCAGACATGGGGAGAATGTGCAAACTCCACACAGACAGTAACCCGAGGGTGGAATCGAACCCGGGTCCTTGGCGCTGTGAGGCAGCAATGCTAACCACTGAGCCACTGTGCCACCCACAGGTTCCTGTGCGGTTTCGCCCTTCTAGCTGCTGGAACTGAGCCTTGACTGCCGTGTCACCGAGAAAAGCTTCTCTGGGCACATCCGCCAGCTGCTAACATCTTGTTGAAACGCAGGCGTGTGAGAATTGGGAAGCAGGTATACAGTACCCTCAGGATTCTGGTCCGGGCCACATCAAAAAATGCTACCAGTCTTTCCGCTCAGCTCAGTAATATAGCTCAGGACTGATGAGCATTTCCGCCAGTTCTGATGGTATTTGACTCTGAATTGAATGATTTGTTGCTGCTGCAGGGCTCTTGTGGTGTTTCAGTAACAACCACAGGGCTGTGTCTCAGGGCACAGTTATCAGGCGAAAGTTGACACGGAGCCCATGCCTGGGGGCTGCTGAGCGAAAGCCTGGTCGCAGCGACATGATTCAAGTGTGAAGGCCAAGGGTGTGGTCTGGAGACAGAGACAGAGGAATGGAGGGAAGGGCAGGGTTTGGGACTGTGACCGCTAAAGGTACAGCCATCAGCGATGGAGCCGGAACTGGAAGATTGCGGGATCGGGAGGATCGCAGGTGCTCATGGAGCTGAGGAGGGTCGAGGCGGTGGAGGGAGGTGGTAATAAGGATGTGTGTTTGGCAGTGGTTTACCAGCGTGTTGGTCAATGGGCACAGGGCTTGTAGGGCCGTGGGACTTGATGCAAGTCTGTCGGGGTACAGGCAGCGGAGCCTTGATTCTGTGGAGGGTGCAAGGTGGGAGGCCACTTATGAGCAGGGGCCTTGGCACAGCCGAACCCAGAAGGGATGGGGCACCAATGACGAGAGCCCTTATCACCAGTGCCTGCGTTGCTGGGCTCTCCTGGCTCTGATGGCGTTTTGTATGAGAGATACAGTGCAGACTGATGTCAGTGAACCTCCTACTAAGAGGCTGGACTCTCACTCTTGTGCCACTGGGTATTTAGTGAGTTTTGATCACCACAGATGACAAACCTGACAGCCCCGTGTTGGGGTGGGAAGGAAAATGGCACATGACAGACTCTGCACCAGTGAACTGGGCGGGTTGGTGAACCCACCCTGGGGCACTGAACTGGGGAGGTGATGGCCCAGTGGCATTATCGCTCAACTGTTAATCCAGGCACTGAGCTAAAACTCTGAGGACCCTGGCTCGAATCCCAAATGGTGGAATTCAGACTCAATAAAACAGAAGTCTGGAATTAAGAATTTACCGATGATCAGGAAACCGTTGTCAATTGTTGGAAAAAGCCACCTGGCTCACTTATGTCCTTTAGGGAAGGAAACTGCCATCCTTACCTGGTCTGGCCTACATGTGACTCCAGACCCATAGCAATGTAGTTTACTCTCAACTGCCCGCTGGGCAATTAGGGATGGGCAATAAATGCTGTCGGAGATGCCCTCATCCTGTGAGTGAATGGGGCAACAAAAAAGGAACAGGGTTTACTGCTATCGATTTTTTTTAAAAATTCATTCACGGGATGAGAGCATCGCTGGCCAGGCAGCATTTATTGCCCATCCCTAATTGCCCAGAGGGCAGTTAAGAGTCACGCACATTGCTGTGGGTCTGGAGTCACATCTAGGCCAGACCAGGGAAGGATGGCAGTTGCCTTCCCAAAAGGACATTAGTGACATTTTCTAACAACAGTCAATGGTTTCGTGGTCATCAGTAGATGCTTAATCCTGGATATTTTTATTGTATTCAGATTTCTGTAACTGCCACGGTAGGATTTGAAGCTGGGTCCCCAGAGCACTACCTGGGTCTGGATTAACAGTCCAGCAATAATACCAGTAGGCCATTGGCTCCCCTTTGGTGACAATCTGCACCACCCCAAGTTTCTTGGCAATGAGTGTCAGACCTCACACTTGATACATGGCCTTTTGTGTGAGCTAGCAGAGATTTGCTGAGGTCCTGAGACTCTCTGGCCAACAACTGAATGAGGTGGCCTCACAAACTCCGAGAAGCCAGCAGGGCCATAAGACAGTTGGTCACTTATGGAGCTATGAACCACATGGATGTTTCCCGAAATTAATGGACCGAGGAAAATGGCGCTGATTTGATGGTTGAAGCTGGGCGAGTTTGTTTTTCTTTTGTTGAGCTTAACTGGAAACGTTCTGTTCTTTTGGCAGCTCCAAGGTCGAAGCCAGGTGAATCGCTTGTGGAGGTGGGGCAGCTGGACGGGACTGGAGCACAAATGGTGATAGGTCGGGCCGTCGGCTGACAGATAAAGGAGGAGTGGAATGATTGGCTGTGTTCACCTGATGTGCTGGGCTGTGCTTGGCTTGGTGTCTGTGTGTACAGCACGGCCAGCATTGACTTTCCCAGATCAAGGTAAGGAACTCCTCTCTGGCAGTGCCAACTCAGCCCAGCGTGGGCAAGGAGAGTGTCAACAGATACAAAGAGCAAGTCCTCCTTTGTCCCTGGCCCCTGTTCTCCACACCACATTCTCACTGGCAAACAATGTCATCTCATGGCCAGGAGGTGATCAGGTGTGAGCCCCACACAAGACACTTGAACCTGTCATACAGGCTGATGCTGTGTGGGAGTGCAGCACGGCCTGAGGCTCTCAGTTTCAGTGGCGATGTCGAACTGAAGTCCGAAACGTCCCAATTTATCAGAGTCCTGAGAGATGGGGCAGCGGGGTGGCACAGTGGCTCAGTGGTTAGCACTGCTGCCTCACAGCACCAGGGACCTGGGTTCGATTCTGCCCTCGGGCAACTGTCTGTGTGGAGTTTGCACATTCTCCCCGTGTCTGCGCGGGTTTCCTCCGGGTGCTCCAGTTTCCTCCCACAGTCCAAAGATGTGCAGGTTTGGGTGGATTGGCCATGCTGAATTACCCATAGTGTTCAGGGATGTGTAGATTAGGTGGGGTATAGAGGGGATGGGTCTGGGAGGGATGCTGTGAGGGTCGGTGTGGACTTGTTGGGCCGAAGGGCCCGTTTCCACACTGTAGGGATTCTATGATTCTATGATCTGGCAGCTACTCTTTGACAGAATAGCAACAGAGTTCTCCACAGTGTTGTGGTAAACATTTACCTGTCCTTCAGTGTCACTAAAAAGACAATCACATTGCCCATCAAACATTGCCAGATTGCTCATTGTGGGAGCTTGCTGACTACAAGCGGACTGACATATTTGCTACATTGCGTTGATAAGCATCCTTCAAAAAGGACCTGATAAGTTCGAAATGCGAGTGTGTCTTTCTGAATCAGCAAGAGTTTTTATTTTGGATCCAAGTAGAAATCAGTTTATCAGAGTGTGAATTCTCCTCGCTGCTGAGTGGTGCTTGCTGTGTTGGGAGCTACATGGAAACCTTAGGCTTTCAGTCTGCTGCCCTGATTGTGTTAATCTCTCTCTGAGATGCCCCTGAAAGTGATTGGAGCACAGTTTGTTCTTTCATCTCAACCATGTTTCTTTCTGGGTCAGCGAAGGAGTGAGATTCCTGCTTGGTCGGTGAAACGATGAGCTTCCACCTCACACATCTGGAAGGATGTAGTTGGGAGCAGGCATGAAAATATATTGGGAATGCATCAAGACTGTTTACTTCAGCATGTTCACTGTCTGCTGTTTCGTCTGTTAGCCCTGTCATGCTGTGTGCATGCTCCAGCCAGAAGCGAAAGGAGACCGGAAAACTGCAAGACCCACGGCTGACAGAGTTTGCTTTCATTCACTCTGGAAATAAGGACAATCCGAGTCAAATGCTGAGAATGCTGGAGAAACTCAGCAGATCTGGCAATATCAGTCCAGAGAGAGAGAGAGAGTTTCAAATCCAGTGAGACACTTCAGAACTGAAGAAGTGTCATACTGGACTCAGAACGTTAACTCTGTTTCTCTCTCTCTGTAACAATGCTTCCAGACCTGCTGAGGTTCTCCAGCATTCTGTGTTTGTTTCAGATTTCTAGCATCTGAAGCACTTTTCTTGGACATGAATCTGAGTGCTGTGCAACCCTAAACAAGGTGTTGGCTGGGGCACAATTGATAGGACCTTTGCCAATCTGAGTGAGATCCTGTGGGTTCTGTTGGCACTCGGGAGATTTGAGCCCGTTACCTTGATTCAGACTCCAGTGTGTTCCTCAGGGTGTTGACGATGCTGAATTTCAGCTGAGAGAGAGCCAGCCTGCTCTCTGAGTTGTGTGTTAACTATGCCTAGATGCTGTCCAAGGGACAATTGGAAAGATTTCCTTTCTACCTCGGCCAATATCTATTCGTCAGCTAGCATGCCGACAAAAGACTATTTGGCTTGGCTGCTTGTGGGAGCTTGCTGTGCACGGAGGACCTGCTGAGTTTCCTGTGTTAGAAACGTTGGCAATCCTGCAGAAGTGTTGGCTGTAATGCGTTCTGCGATGTCCTGACGGTGCATATTGTCACACAGAATTGCAATCTCACCCTGTTGAAATGGTGACGTGTGGCAGAGTGCGAAAGCAGTCCCCAGGATCTTCGGTTGGTGGTGGTGGGCTCTGATTTGGGAGTGGGCTGCATGCTGAAGCCTTGTTGTTGGACCCAGGCTTATACATGTGTACACGAGGCCTGAGATTAACCTGTGTGCTGTTGGGAGTACTGACACTTGAGAATGTAATTCTGTGGTCTTTGCCAAGGCCTCATGCACTGCGTCTGTGCCAAGCTGAAGAGTCATGCAGGCAAATTGTTTCCAGGTGATGAAGACTTGAGGATGCCAGGGTAGCTGGTGGACGACACAGAACGAGTGATTTCACACTGAGTCACCAGCAGGCCCTCCTTCAGGAAGAGGATACAGCCTCCCTGTGAGATCACAACCTGACAGCAAGCCACATCTAGGGGGAACATGTCCAGCAGTGCATCTTAGCAGGGAAACTTTGAAGCAGCACGGCATAACTTCTTCCAAACGAGGGCCAATGTCAAAGAGAACTCAGTTCCCAGGAACTGAAGAAGTGAGGGATGATTTCAGGAAGATTTTGGGCCCATTTGGTTGGACAGAGAGATGTTTCTTTCTTCTTTCCAGTTTGCTGGAAAACATTGAGGGAACGTGAAAATAAACAGAGTCAGATCATTGGCAGAACGAATGGGGGAAAACCGTATTCACTTTCTCCACAGAAAGCAGGAGACCCTTGGGCGCTCAATCAGGCATCAACATAGTTTATAAACTAATCTGTCAAAGGACATGGATCTAAACCATACGGAATACAACTTCGCTCCAGATCAGCAATCATCTCATTGAAAGGCAAAATAACAGTCAGGGTCTGAATGTTTACTCCACTTTGCATTTTCCGATGACAAAGTAGAACTCACTCTGCTCATTTAAACAGAAAATAAAACACCGACTCCATCAAACACCGCCCCCCCCCAACAAGGACATCACAGAGTGAGACACCGAATAAAGCCCCCTCTACTGCTTTTACATTTAAAGTACATCAAACTCTACGTTTAGTTTAATAGAGTGTTCTCTCCTCTTTTCAAATCAAATTCAACAAAGTGCAAACTCCTCTACACTGTCCCCCATCAAACACTCCCAGGACAGGGATAGCATGGGGTTAGATACAGAGTAAAGCTTCCTCTACACTGTCCCCCATCAAACACTCCCAGGACAGGGA